GGGACCAGCCGCAGCTCCACGGTACCGGCTGGCAGGGAAGACGCACCCTCTAACTCCAGCCCTGACAAACGCTTTGTCCTTCTGGAATGGGAAGTCACAGGTTCCCCGAGTCACCCTGAACTCAGCTCACATTATCAACAATTCCCACTTTCTTGCTGCCATACCATTCACACGTCCAACACCAAGAACTTACACATATATTAAAGACAGAGGTTCCTACAGGATTTAGTAACCCAACTCTTTTTTTCAAGAGAGGAATTTGTGCTACTGCCACTTTCTCTCTACAAGCTTCTTCCTCAGCAGGAGAGCTACTGGTTACACAGGGTAGTGAAGAACTGTTCTGTTCTGAGCTGGTTTAAAAACTTGACAGCTAGTAGGTGAAAAGGGAGCAAACTCTCACTTTTCCTAACTTTAGAGCATTTCACAAATGAGCAGAGCATAATTTGAGGAACAAAGCCCGGGGAAGGGAAATGAGCCTTGAAAAGCCTCCAAGTCCGTTATTCCGTGGCAAGACGGGGTTGTGCCTGCTGGGCTTTTTGGCGGGAGAGACCCAGCTGCTGTCCCCTCCTGTTAGGTGTGCGGGGCCGTGCAGCCACAGCAGCTCTGGCCTGTTGCCCTCTGCCTGCTCCGGAGCGCAGGAGATGCTCCCGGAAAGCAAGACGTCAAAGGGCCTTGACAGCAAACAAGATGCATGGGCTAGGGAGCACCGCCACTGAAGAGAGGGACAGATCTGACCTTCTCTCTGAAATAATAGGGGCACCTTTCTGAAACTGGGCTTGGGAGCTCAGGAGCTGGAATGTACATTCTTACACTGCTAAAACAAGTGTCCCTACAGGCCTTAGGTCTCTGACTCAGCACAGAACACCTATAGGAGACTAACGATTGCCTGAAGGCTGCAAGCTCTGGCACTGCCTCAGATCCCTGGAGCTCTGATACGACGCGAGCTCCGCTGTTAACAGAGTCAGGGGAAAATGGAAACAGTCCACAAGATGAGGAAGACTCAAGGGGAACATCCTTAGAATAATCTCCATCTTCTGGCGAGTTCCACTTCTCCGAATTTCCTGCAATCCCTCTCCCACCCTGCCTGACCTCTAGGCAAGTCCAAGACCAGACCGAGGTGAATGATGTTGTTTGGCTGTGGCCAACGGCTCTGTCTGACTGACACTGCCCGGCGTCCTCACTTCCTGACAGCATCCTGCAAAGTCCAGGCTGTACAGCAGTGCAGCCACAGCTGCTTTTGATGAGAGCTTTCCTACTCCTCACCTGGTTCTGGAACTCAGCTAATCGACGACTGCAGCAAGCGTGAGGCTCCTCCTGTGAAGGAAATACAAGGATTTCTTTTTAGTCTCCAGTCTGGCCAGGGCCAGGGTCTACATTCAACTTCTGTTGGGTCTATACCGGGGGGCTGCTACCACTGGGATTTGCCATCGTTCCTCCGTATGGCCGGACCCTCCTGCCACCAAGGAAGATTCTGTTCTCACCTCTCCAGAAGCAGGCATCTTGTGCTGGTCAGAGAGAGGAAACGCGCAGGCGTCTGGCAGCGACCGACCACTACAATACCTCTTCAGTCTCCTCCGTTCACGTTCCACCTGCACGTTGGATAGGAGAAAGGGTCACAGAAACCTGCCATCAAACACAGAGCAAAAGGACCTCTAGACATCATGGCAAAGAGATGTCTGCTCAGAGACCACTGATTGCACCCGAGAACACTGGGGGCAAAAAGCCCTCCAAGTAGACTACGGAAAAGAAAGAGCAAGAGGAAACAGATCCTGACACAAGAGGGTCAAATGTGTGTGTATGGGGACACTGGGGCAAGAAGGGAGGTACCAGAGGAAACGTGCATTGGTGAAGGCAATGGGGGGCCAGAAAAGAGAGAAAACACGCAAGTGTGTGTCCGCAGGGGAAAGTGAGAGATGGAAAGAAACAAGCAGAGGACTCCAAAGTGCTGTCTGTGGAAACGGGCTGTGTTCCAGAGGACCGTGAGGCTTTGCAGAGGCAGCGAAAGCCTGGTTTACCTGCTCAAGCATCCTCCTGAGCTCAGCATTGAGTTGCTTCAGCTCCTCTTTCTCAAGTTCCAGCCTTGCAACTGCTCGCTGCAGACGATCCAGCCGCTGGGACAGGATTCTCTTCTCCGAGAGCCAGGATCGCTGCTCCCCTTCTGCAGTAGCCTGCTGGGTATTCAGAGAGGAGATTGTGTGAGCTGGTGCCACAGAACGGTTACGAGGGCCAGAATCAAGTTGGGGAGCGTGACCGGACTCAGGAATGCACAGTGCTAAGTCCCTAAGTGCTTTTCCTCCTGCTCCACAGGCCCAAACAACACCCTCTTGTCCTGGGGCCCTTCCTCCAGATCACCTTCGAGAAATGGACTTGTTTGTTCTGGACATGCTTCCTGCTACTTTTGTTCAGTGTTGTCCATTCTGGTCTAGAGTGAGACTGCAAACATTCCTTTCCTATTCAGCCACTTCATGGCTCTACAAAGGTCTGTAGTCTTTCCAGATCCCTCTTGCTGAGCCATTTCTTGTCCACCATGACGACTTCCACATTTACATCTTCCTCTTAGGGAAGCTATTTAACATCTCTGGTCATCCTCTTTGACCTTCTCTGTGTATTCTGTCTATGGTTCCACTCCCTGTCCTTGGACAACCAAACAACACCCAAGATGTGGGTGAAGCATGTATTTTTGCAGTGATAAAATACTACAGTTTTGGTCTCTATTCCCTTTCCCTGTTACCTCATCATTATAGAACTGCTCTTTGGAAAAAAATAAATCACATTATCAAGCAAGCCCTGTGTACTGCTGTGAACCTGGCCAAGAGCCACCTTCCCTCTCATGGGTTTCTTGATGAACTGCTCCCTGAAGCAATCTCTGACAGCATCTAAAAATATAGTCTTGATATCAGCACTATACCGATCTATATGGATGCAACTGCGTTACCTGATCTAATGCTGTTGCATGCCTTATCCGGAGGGATGCAACTGAAATCTCCAATTGTTTTCATGTTTCCTGCCCTTGTCACTTCTCTGCTTCCCATCAACAGATCACAATACCTGTCATCATCCTGGTCAGGCTGGTAGTAATATTTCTCAAGTAATGTAGAAATGTATAAATATAGTATTTTCTTAGTAGCTTTTTTTTATAGGCCTGTATACTAACGTAATGCTAAAAGTACTGGCAGAGTCGCAGGCAAGTTTGCAGCACAGACTGTTGCAGCTCTTCCACTAGCAGTACCCGAGTCAGATCACCTTGGTGAAAGCCACACAAATTTGCCTTTGTGCTTTTTTGGACTGCGGCACAAGTACATCCTGAATGGGCAATGAAGCCTTTAACCTGATCAGCCAACAGCTGGTATTCCATTCTTTTTAATACACTGGAAAAGCTGTACCTCAGAAATCTACATCTCTAAAAGCATCCTCTAAGCACCATCAGTGTAGCTGCTGTTCAGCCATCGTTATAAAATCCTACTAAGTTGATTACATCAGTCTGGTCAACTGTGCCCTTTCCTTTCCCTGCCAAATCCTAACCATGACACGCTGGCTGAGCTTGCCTAGACAGGAGAGAACCAATTACCCACCCCCACCTTTGGGACTTGAGTTAAAATTAACGCAAGCTCTGTGGTTCTTTCAGTAGTTCTGGGCTGGACAGAAAACATTCTAGCAGGTGAATGGTCTCTGGCCAGAGGTATATAGACAGGCAAGCCTGCTGGCTGCAATCCTGGTTTCTTTGGCCAAGCAGGACATATATTTAGGGGAACATATATCCCTATGTCTTTGTAGGAAACACCTTTAGAATCCTTTGTAGACATTTTAGTTGACCGATCATCAATCACAATGCCTACCTGAAGATGAAATCGGTCCTTGTCCCTCTCTGAAACCATACTCTGCAGGACGGCTATTTCTTCCCTCACAGTCCCGTTGGCCATTTCACTCCTGGTAAGGGCAACAGTCAGTGCCTGTGCCTTCTCTTTCCATTCCATTTCTCTGCTTTCCGTCTGCTTCAACATCGCAGTCACACACTCCAATTCTTCCCCCTTTGCTTTCCTCTCATCTTCCAGTTGTCGGGTCAGCTCCTTCTGCCTTTGCAAGAGACAGTCTCTCTCCTGCAGAACTTTCCTCTTCTCTGCTTCCTCTTCCTCCCAGTTTTGGAGTTTCTGGATTTGTTTCTTTAGGGTCTGCCTGTCATCTTTCCATCGCAAAGCTGATGCTAATTGTTTCAAGAGCTCACTCTGCCTCCTAAGCTCTTCTTCTCTCCCTGTCAGAGTCTTCTCTAAATACTTGACTCTCTCTCTCTGGTTCTTGATCTCTTCATCCTTCTTTGTCACAGTCTGCTGAACACATTGGAGATCTTCCTGAAGAGCTCTTTTTTCATCTTCTAACTCTGTCCCTATCTCTTCTTGCTGGGATCTGATCTCCT